TAATTTATTCCATAATATATTTTTAGAAAATGGCCAATTGGATAGATCGGTAGAATTATTTTCACAGCTTTAAAAACGCGGTAGTTTGAGGTTCCGATATGGTTGCAAATAACATTGACAGTTTTCATGCTATGACAGTCATTTATGCACCATTTTAAAGCATTATGGTTGCACTTTAATATGGTATATAATTTGTTGCATAATGTGTGTTTTTACAAATTGGTCAATTTGATAGATCGGTAGAATTATTGTTCTATGTTTAATAAATGCTGTAATCTGAGGTTCCGATATGGTTGCAATTAACTTTGGCAGTTTTCGTGCTATGACAGTCATTTATGCACCATTTTAAAGCATTAAAATTGCCATTTGTTTTGGTATATAATTTATTGCATAATGTATTTTTAGAAAATGGCCAATTGTATAGATCGGTGGAATTATTTTCCAGTTTTCATGCTATGACAGTCATTTATGCATTATGCAGCATTATGATTGCACTTTAATATGGTACATAATTTGTTGCATAATGTGTGTTTTTACAAATTGGTCAATTTGATAGATCGGTAGAATTATTGTTCTATGTTTAATAAACGCTGTAATCTGAGGTTCCGATATGGTTGCAATTAACTTTGGCAGTTTTCGTGGTAGGACAGTCATTTATGCACCATTTTAAAGCATTAAAATTGCTATTTGTTTTGGTATATAATTTATTGCATAATGTATTTTTAGAAAATGGCCAATTGGATAGATCGGTAGAATTATTTTCCCAGGTTTAAAAAGGCGGTAATTTGAGCTTCCGATATGGTTGCAAATAACTTTGACAGTTTTCATGCCAGGACAATCGTTTATGCATCATTTTAAAGCATTACAGTTGCACTTTGTTTTGGTGTATAATTTGTGGCATAATGAATTTTTACAAAAATTGGATAGATCGGTATATTTATTGGTACAGGTTTAGAAATGCGGTAATTTAAGGCTCCGATATGGTTGCAAATATCTTTTATAGTTTTCATGTTATAACAGTCGTTAATATATCTTTTTATTGCATTATAGTTGCCATTTGCTTTGGTATATAATTTATTCCATAATATATTTTTAGAAAATGGCCAATTGGATAGATCGGTAGAATTATTTTCACAGCTTTAAAAAGGCGGTAATTTGAGATTCCGATATGGTTGCAAATAACATTGACAGTTTTCATGCTATGACAGTCATTTATGCATCATTTTAAAGCATTGTGATTGCACTTTAATATGGTATATATGTAAATTATTTCGAGTTTTTGGATTTAAAATAAAAGAATTGCTTTTAAGAGTTTAGTTATATTATATTATATTTTATTTATTATTTATTTATAGAAAATTATTAAATATTTAAGTAGAAAGTGCAATATAGAATAATTGAGAATCAGTTTCGCTTTTTATAAAGATTAGTCACAAATTTAAGTTTTGATTGAACATTTTAAAGATACTGGACAAGAACATTAACAACTTTACAATTAACAATTAAAAGACAACTTTAAAGAACTTGAACGCACTGACATACTTTAACTGACTGACTTTTTATTTAAGAATTGCCTTTTATTCAACCTGCTTTTATTATTCTTATTCTTATCCACTTTATACTTGTATTCACCACAGGGTAAGAGAATGACAATAAATCAATGTTAACCCTTTACAATCGGCCATCCTGAAAATCATCTGTCCCAGATGACAGCTCATCTTCGGCATCAGAGGATTTCCATCCTTTCATGTTGTCTGCACTTGTAGAAGTGTAACGTGGACCATCGGAATCGGCGACCTTCTCGACATCATATCGATCATTGCGTTTTACTTTTATTACTTTATAAGGACCCAAATACTCGCTCGCTAATTTTCTACCAGCTACAAACTGTGTCCTCTTAATAGCCACTAAATCGCCCACAGAATATACTGACGACTGCTTACGTTGTTTATCATAACTATTTTTGTATTTCTCTTGTGCCTCAATGATTTGTTGTTTAACTTCCTCTCTTAGCTGTTGACGTTCTTTGTTGTAATTTTCAATAAGTTCTTCTTGAAGCATATCAATTATTCCACTGTATATATTAGATTTCATTTTAACGCCAAACATTACTTCAAAAGGAGTAGTTTTAGTAGAGCTGTGTAGTGTGGAATTTAAAGCCTTCTGGACGTGACTCACAAACTTATACCACTTTGTTGTGTCTTCAGAAGACAGCTTAGATATTATAGATAAAATCGAGCGGTTTACTCTTTCAATTTGTCCATTACCGCGAGGCACCCCCGTAGTTGTAAGTATATGCTCGATACCATTTTCCTGGCACCAATCATTAAATAGTTGCGACGTATAAGCTGCACCCTTATCACTAATTATTCGTGTGAGATTTCCAAAGGTTTGCGACCAAACGTTTAAATTTTTAACTACCTCTTCTGCACCAGTTGACTTTGTTGGAAATAACCACAAAAACTTTGAAAACCCGTCGACCAATGCTAGAATATGCTTATATTGTTTACATGTAGCATCCATTGGTCCAAGGTGATCTATATGTAAAGTATGCAACGGAGTATCACCTTTATCGATGCAATGGAGGATACCTTCTTTTTTGCCAGTTTTTTTGTTGTGTATAATACACCTGATACAATTATTGACTACCTGTATAACTTTCTTCTCTAAATGAGCGATGTAAAACTGTTGTTGTATGGTATGCACCGTTTTTTGTACTGAGAAGTGTCCATTTTCATGTGCATTTCTGATACTTTCCGACTCCATTATTTTCGGCACTACTAACAGATCATAGCCATTTATACTTTTGTAAACGAGCCCACCTTTAATCTTAAAGTTTTCGTATGGTCCTAGCTGCAAACAATTTGTTATCGCCTTAATACATTCATCTTCAGATTGCAGATTGCAGAATGGAATCGGAAACTTCTCAACAGCTTTCGTTTTTTGTTTCCCAGGCCATACTTTGCCATCTTCTACAGTATGGCCTAAAAAGTCAATTCTATTTTTCATGAAAGCGCATTTAGACCATTTAAACTTAAGGCCAAATTTTGATGCTCTTTCTAGCACTATATGAAGCTTTTTTAAACAATTTTCGGCAGTATCGGCGTAAATCACAAAGTCGTCGATATATAACTCCATAATCTCATCATTAATAAGGTCTTGAAAAATGTAGTTAACATACCTTATAAAATTTGCTGGTGAGTTGCAAAAGCCAAACGGGGCCTTATTAAATTCAAACAAACCTTGTTTTGTAATAAAAGCGGTATATTTTTTACTAGATTCTTCAACAGCAACATGTAGGAATCCATTTTCTAAATCCATAACTATGAAAAACTTGGCTTTTTGTAGTTTCAGCAATACGTCATCAATTACTGGTACGGGAAAACGATCTTTGAGTACCATAGCATTTAAGTTACGAAAATCGATGCAAACTCTATATTCTCCATTCTTCTTTTTAACAACGACAACACGGCTAGCTACATTCGAGCAGGACTTTCGAACCACTCGTGTCTGCAACCATTCTGCAATTTGTTTGTTTACTATTTCTTCTTCGTGGAATGATAGGCGACTTGGTGAGTGATGAAAAGGTTTAAATTGATCATTTAGAGTGATTTTCATTTCTATTGGACAATTTTCACACTTTACTGATGGTTTATATCCATCTACAATATTTTTAATTATTTCTTTGTACTTTGTATCAGTATCTAGATCAATGGTGTTAACATTATAAACATTAAATTCGTTATGTTGGGTATTATTAACATTGTCATTATCATATTGGAAAATATATCCTTCTTTATTTGAGTAAAATACAAAGTTTTTAGTAAAATCATATCCCAAAATTGCATCAAATTTAATAGCTTCATCCGGTAAAATTATAAAGTCATGATTAGTTGTTACGTCATCAACAATTACATCACACGTAATATAACCGTTAGGTTTAGTTTTAACATTACCAAGACCAAATAACAATGCTTGACTGTCCTTTAATTTGCACTCGCTTAATTTATCTTTAAAAATTGAGTTTTTAACAATAGACACGTCTGAGCCCGTATCAACTAAACAGTCTAATTCATTATTATTTAATTTGATTGTTTTTAGTCGTTTTTTATCTATAATGACATTAACATTTTTTTCCGGTAATTTATTTAAGTTTTGCATTTCACAATTTTTTGCAATATGTCCGTAGTGATTGTATTTAAAACATTTGGGTTCTGATTGACATTCACCTCTTTTATGGTCTTTAGATCCACAGTTAAAACAATGTTCACGATAAAATTTATTTTTTATGTCACTGTTATATTTTCCATATGCAGAGTGCGATTGTTTTTTAAAACGTTCATCGGTACCCCGATTTTCATTTACCCGCTCAAAAATTTCATATTTTTCTCGAAGCTCTTTAAAGGTAGTTGCACTGTATAACTGAAATTTGACGTCACTTCTAATTGTTAATCCATCTACAATGTAGCGAATCACTGAAATTTCTTCGATGTTGCCAAGAGCTGCTATTTTTCGCATTTGCAGTACATATTCATGGAAAGATTCACTAACAGATTTTCTTCTATTTGAGAGCATTTTATGTAATTCATTGCTACTTAAGGTTTTGTCAAATTCATTTATCAAACTATATTTTAGCATTTCGTAATCGCTAACATTAATTGTTTCTAAAAATAATTTAGCTGTACCGATCATTTTATTTCGCGCTTGAACATATTTTTGTTGTTCATTTAAACTATAAGCTGATGCATTTAATTCAAAATTATTAAACCACTGTTTTACTGGAATTTTTTCTCCATCAAAATCAGCCAAAATCTTTGAAAAATTGTCCACTGTTATGTTTGGTATGTTTTTATCTTCTTTTTCTTTTTTCATTTTTTCCGTCAACAATTTAACTAAATCATTTAAACTTTGATTTGGATCGACAGCCATTTTTGTTTCTTCACAATTTGGATTAAGTTTTTTGACACTTGTAATTAGATTTCCAATATTAAAATGAGATGTTAGTTTAGTTCTGTTGGTTTCGATGTTTTTATTGTTTTTATTTTCAGCTTCTTTATTTGTAACTTGTTTGTTTTCTGTCTCTTTATTTTCAACTTCTTTAATTTTATTCTCAGCTTCTCTTTATTTTCAACTTCTTTAATTTTATTCTCAGCTTTGTTCTTAAATTCTGTTTTCTTATCTTCAATTTCTTTACATTTATTCACAACTTCTTTATTTTCGACTTGATTGTTTTTAATTTCTACTTCTTTGTTTCTTTTTTCAACTTCTTTAATTTCAACTTCTTTGTTTCTATTTTCAACTTCTTTACTTTTATTGCAATCTTCTTTTCTGCTTACAGTTTCTTTACTTTGTTTTACACTGCAGAAATTTTCAACTTCTTTTTCAACTTTTGTTCCGTTATCACTTCTTAGATTTAAACTTTTCTCCTTCTTTCTATAAACATCAATACTGATCTCTTTTCCTATTGCACAACTCTCACTGATTTTTTGTTCTTTATTGTTTAATACTTCTATTTGTGCTTCAGTTTCATTTTTTTCGCTTTTTGTTGGTGTTTTTATGTTTTTATTTGCTGCTTGCGCTCTTGTATAGTATGTTGCTTTTAGTTTTGTCGAACCGTTACTTTTTTCCATTTGTTTAAGAATAAATCTACCGATTTTTTTTTTTTTTTTTTTTAAATATTGTATATTCAATTATGTTTATTTCTTAGGCGCCGGTTGAGCCCCCAAATGTAAATTATTTTGAGTTTTTGGATTTAAAATAAAAGAATTGCTTTTAAGAGTTTAGTTATATTATATTTTATTTATTATTTATTTATAGAAAATTATTAAATATTTAAGTAGAAAGTGCAATATAGAATAATTGAGAATCAGTTTGACTTTTTATAAAGATTAGTCACAAATTTAAGTTTTGATTGAACATTTTAAAGATACTGGACAAGAACATTAACAACTTTACAATTAACAATTAAAAGACAACTTTAAAGAACTTGAACGCACTGACATACTTTAACTGACTGACTTTTTATTTAAGAATTGCCTTTTACTCAACCTGCTTTTATTATTCTTATTCTTATCCACTTTATACTTGTATTCACCACAGGGTAAGAGAATGACAATAGATCAATGTTAACCCTTTACAATCGGCCATCCTGAAAATCATCTGTCCCAGATGAAAGCTCATCTTCGGCATCAGATGATTTCCATCCTTTCATGTTGTCTGCACTTGTAGAAGTGTAACGTGGACCATCGGAATCGGCGACCTTCTCGACATCATATCGATCATTGCGTTTTACTTTCATTACTTTATAAGGACCCAAATACTCGCTCGCTAATTTTCTACCAGCTACAAACTGTGTCCTCTTAATAGCCACTAAATCGCCCACAGAATATACTGACGACTGCTTACGTTGTTTATCATAACTATTTTTGTATTTCTCTTTATTTTTTTATTTTTTTTTATAATTTATTGCATAATGTATTTTTAGAAAATGGCCAATTAGATAAATCGGTAGAATTATTTTCCCAGGTTTAAAAACGCGGTAATTTGAGGTTCCGATATGGTTGTGAATAACTTTGACAGTTTTCATGCTATGACAGTCATTTATGCATCATTTTAAAGCATAACAGTTGCACTTTGTTTTGTATAATTTGTGGCATAATGAATTTTTACAAAAATTGGATAGATCGGTATATTTATTCGTACAGGTTTAAAAATGCGGTAATTTAAGGCTCCGATATGGTTGCAAATAATTTTATAGTTTTCATGTTATAACAGTCGTTTATACATCTTTTTATTGCATTATAGTTGCCATTTGTTTTGGTATATAATTTATTGCATAATGTATTTTTAGAAAATGGCCAATTGGATAGATCGATAGAATTATTTTCCCAGGTTTAATAACGCGGTAATTTGAGGTTCCGATATGGTTGCAAATAACATTGACAGTTTTCATGCTATGACAGTCATTTATGCATCATTTTAAAGCATAACAGTTGCACTTTGTTTTGGTGTATAATTTGTGGCATAATGAATTTTTACAAAAATTGGATAGATCGGTATATTTATTCCTACAGGTTTAAAAATGCGGTAATTTAAGGCTCCGATATGGTTGCAAATAATTTTATAGTTTTCATGTTATAACAGTCGTTTATACATCTTTTTATTGCATTATAGTTGCCATTTGTTTTGGTATATAATTTATTGCATAATGTATTTTTAGAAAATGGCCAATTGGATAGATCGATAGAATTATTTTCCCAGGTTTAAAAAGGCGGTAATTTGAGGTTCCGATATGGTTGTGAATAACTTTGACAGTTTTCATGCTATGACAGTCATTTATGCATCATTTTAAAGCATTATGATTGTACTTTAATTTGGTATATCATTTGTAGCATAATGTGTTCGTCTAAAAAATGGTCAATTTGATGGATCGGTAGAATTATTGTTCTATGTTTAAAAACGCGGTAATTTGAGCTTCCGATATGGTTGCAATTAACTTTGGCAGCTTTCGTGCTATGACAGTCGTTTATGCACCATTTTAAAGCATTAAAATTGCCATTTGTTTTGGTATATAATTTATTGCATAATGTATTTTTAGAAAATGGCCAATTGGATAGATCGGTAGAATTATTCTCCCAGGTTTAAAAAGGCTGTAATTTGAGGTTCCGTTATGGTTGCAAATAACTTTGACAGTTTTCATGCCAGGACAATCATTACATTTGCACTTTGTTTTGGTGTATAATTTGTGGCATAATGTATTTTTAGAAAATGGCCAATTGGATAGATCGATAGAATTATTTTCCCAGGTTTAATAACGCGGTAATTTGAGGTTCCGATATGGTTGCAAATAACATTGACAGTTTTCATGCTATGACAGTCATTTATGCATCATTTTAAAGCATAACAGTTGCACTTTGTTTTGGTGTATAATTTGTGGCATAATGAATTTTTACAAAAATTGGATAGATCGGTATATTTATTGGTACAGGTTTAGAAATGCGGTAATTTAAGGCTCCGATATGGTTGCAAATATCTTTTATAGTTTTCATGTTATAGCAGTCGTTTATATATCTTTTTATTGCATTATAGTTGCCATTTGTTTTGGTATATAATATATTGCATAATGTATTTTTAGAAAATGGCCAATTGGATAGATCGGTAGAATTATTTTCCCAGGTTTAAAAAGGCGGTAATTTGAGGTTCCGATATGGTTGTGAATAACTTTGACTGTTTTCATGCTATGACAGTCAATTATGCATCATTTTAGAGCATTATGATTGCACTTTAATTTGGTATATCATTTGTAGCATAATGTGTTCGTCTAAAAAATGGTCAATTTGATGGATCGGTAGAATTATTGTTCTATGTTTAAAACGCGGTAATTTGAGGTTCCGATATGGTTGCAAATAACTTTGACAGTTTTCATGCTAGGGCAATAGTTTAGGCATCATTTTAAAGCATAAGAGTTGCACTTTATTTTGGTGTATAATTTGTGGCATAATGAATTTTTACAAAAATTGGATAGATCGGTATATTTATTGGTACAGGTTCAAAAATGCGGTAATTTAAGGCTCCGATATGGTTGCAAATAACTTTTATAGTTTTCATGTTATAACAGTCGTTTATATATCTTTTTATTGCATTATAGTTGCCACTTGCTTTGGTATATAATTTATTCCATAATATATTTTTAGAAAATGGCCAATTGTATAGATCGGTAGAATTATTTTCCCAGGTTTAAAAGGGCGGTAATTTGAGGTTCCGATATGGTTGCGAATAACTTTGACTGTTTTCATGCTATGACAATAATTTATGCATCACTTTAATTCATTACGATTGTACTTTAACTTGGTATATCATTTGTAGCAAAATGTGTTCTTCTAAAAAATTGTAAATTCAATGGATCGGTAGAATTGTTGTTCTATGTTTAAAAACGCTATGATTTGAGGTTCGGATATGGTTGCAAATAACTTTGACAGTTTTCATGCCAAGACAATCGTTTATGCATCATTTTAAAGCATTACAGTTGCACTTTGTTTTGGTGTATAATTTGTGGCATAATGAATTTTTACAAAAATTGGATAGATCGGTATATTTATTGGTACAGGTTTAGAAATGCGGTAATTTAAGGCTCCGATATGGTTGCAAATATCTTTTATAGTTTTCATGTTATAACAGTCGTTTATATATCTTTTTATTGCATTATAGTTGCCATTTGCTTTGGTACATAATTTATTCCATAATATATTTTTAGAAAATGGCCAATTGGATAGATCGGTAGAATTATTTTCACAGCTTTAAAAAGGCGGTAATTTGAGGTTCCGATATGGTTGCAAATAACATTGACAGTTTTCATGCTATGACAGTCATTTATGCATCATTTTAAAGCATTGTGATTGCACTTTAATATGGTATATATGTAAATTATTTTGAGTTTTTGGATTTAAAATAAAAGAATTGCTTTTAAGAGTTTAGTTATATTATATTTTATTTATTATTTATTTATAGAAAATTATTAAATATTTAAGTAGAAAGTGCAATATAGAATAATTGAGAATCAGTTTCACTTTTTATAAAGATTAGTCACAAATTTAAGTTTTGATTGAACATTTTAAAGATACTGGACAAGAACATTAACAACTTTACAATTAACAATTAAAAGACAACTTTAAAGAACTTGAACGCACTGACATACTTTAACTGACTGACTTTTTATTTAAGAATTGCCTTTTACTCAACCTGCTTTTATTATTCTTATTCTTATCCACTTTATACTTGTATTCACCACAGGGTAAGAGAATGACAATAGATCAATGTTAACCCTTTACATATAATTTGTAGCATAATGTGTGTTTTTACTAATTGGTCAATTTGGGAGATCGGTAGAATTATTGTTCTATGTTTAATAAAACGCTGTAATCTGAGGTTCCGATATGGTTGCAATTAACTTTGGCAGTTTTCGTGCTAGGACAGTCATTTATGCACCATTTTAAAGCATTAAAATTGCCATTTGTTTTGGTATATAATTTATTGCATAATGTATTTTTAGAAAATGGCCAATTAGATAAATCGGTAGAATTATTTTCCCAGGTTTAAAAACGCGGTAATTTGAGGTTCCGATATGGTTGTGAATAACTTTGACGGCTTTCATGCTATGACAGTCATTTATGCATCATTTTAAAGCATTACAGTTGCACTTTGTTTTGGTGTATAATTTGTGGCATAATGAATTTTTACAAAAATTGGATAGATCGGTATATTTATTGGTACAGGTTTAAAAATGCGGTAATTTAAGGCTCCGATATGGTTGCAAATAAATTTTATAGTTTTCATGTTATAACAGTCGTTTATACATCTTTTTATTGCATTATAGTTGCCATTTGTTTTGGTATATAATTTATTGCATAATGTATTTTTAGAAAATGGCCAATTGGATAGATCGATAGAATTATTTTCCCAGGTTTAAAAATGCGGTAATTTGAGGTTCCGATATGGTTGTGAATAACTTTGACAGTTTTCGTGCTATGACAGTCATTTATACATCATTTTAAAGCATTATGATTGCACTTTAATTTGGTATATCATTTGTGGCATAATGTGTTCGTCTAAAAAATGGTAAATTTGATGGATC